AATGAGAAATCGAAAGTCAACAGAACTTACCTCAGGATGTTCAGGAGAGACTGATTCACGAATCTCGATAACATCTCGAGAAGATGGAGCAGGAGTAGGAGAAGTGGGGGCACTACGAGGGCTCTTAGAAGAAGATTCAGATACCTCTGAATCCACCTTTTTCTGGAAAGGGGAGTAATTATGACAGAGGATAAAATCAAGTCGAGAGAAGAAAGAATGAAGGTTCAGAAGATGAACACTTTACCTGGGTAGGGGATTTCATTGCATCCTTCATAAGCTTCTCAGTGGGAACTTTTGGCCTAGGGACAGGCCTAGTTGAAATTGCTTTTTGTTTCCCTTTGTCTCGGGAAGATCTCCGAGTGGTGGAAACCTGAAAGAGGCAAAAAGATCAGTATAACATTCGAAGAACGATTCCAGGTTTGTTCAAAAAGATAACTTACAGATTGCCCACTTTGAGAGTCCGAACGAAGTTTTTTCTTAGGAACTTCAGCTTCCTACAAAGACAAAGTACGCATGCGTGAGCAGTCATAAAATTAATACAATACTGAAAGAAGGAACATCTTTGGTATTCTTACCTTCGAGCGAGACCGAAGTCGGTCAGAAAGAGTTTTTCGTTTTCGAGGCTTCAACGACATATCATCTTCGTCCTCTGAAGCTGTCTCCCGGTGTTGAGTATCCTCTTGATGTTAAGGAACTTTTTGGGCAACAGCAGCTAAATGCGAAAAAGTGAACATGAGTGGAGACATGGAATTCAAGCCCAACACAAAAAGAAAAGAGGCAAAACTCAATTACCAGGATAGACAACAGTGTTGTCAACCCAGCATAAAGGCCATTGTTTATCCCTGGGAAAATCATACAGAGAACATCTCGTGCTCGTCACTCGATCCTTAACAGGAAGGTTCTTGTTGTCCTCATATGAAGGATCAAGGGCTCTCACCAAGGAGGATAATCAAGACGTTTCGCAAGGCCGAAAAGGGAATTGGGAAGAGGAGGTATATCCTTAGGACAAAACTTTGCAAAAATAGTTTGACCTTGAGGATCAATGACTTTATTTCGACGGATGTTCCGTTGTACCATTCTAGTCAGGGATAAAGTAGCATCGAAAATAGTTTGAAACATATTTTCGGGGCGGTAACAAACTCTGTAATATAGTTTGAACTGAGAAATAATGTTGCGATTATCGTAAATACCTGAAATCTTCAGGCCCTGCATATAAAAGGGAGAATTCGTAAGTCTCCGAGAAAAGTCCTCGAAGGAAAACATCCTGTCAGTGTAATAATCACACCACCATCGAAGGTAGCATTTGGACACCAAGAATGCAGGAAGGAAAGAACAAGGGGTAAGGTTCAATTGAGTAGAAGGCGTCAGGATGAACTTCAGAAACCCCTCATAATCGACATCCTCTACACAAACATCAGAGTCAATTCTGTCCTTAGGAAAAAGAGGTGTTGGTCTAAGTTGACAAAGCCCGAATTGATGGGCAAAGATTTGAGGTTGATAGGGATAAACCCTCACATCCCTTTGTTTCATGCCAGTAAAGACGAGATCCCAAGATAGAAACCCCATCCAGACCTCGATCATCTCCGGGGAAATCTGCCCTACCTGATTGTTGCCAATTAACCAGGAAGGCCCTACCAAATCAGAACGGATAAAAGGAGCTAGATCACTCGAGAACTCCTCGAATTCAAGAATAGCCTGGACATAACGAGCAAAACCATCAACAGATTTCTTCTTGGGAGTCAAAGCGGTTAAGCGAGCGCCCTTGAGAGAATACCGAATGGAGGCTTGGAGAGGAAGGAGTTTTAGTTTCTTCTCGAAAATGGCATTAAGCCATAATTGCAAAAGCCAAAGTGGCCCTGTGAGGTTTCGAGGGCCAGTTTCTCGAAATAAGCTTTTCGAGGCTTCATCGAGACAGTTATAGAAAGAGGCGAGTAGCAACTTGCTCAAGCAAATCTTTTTCTTCAGATGCAAAGCTTGGGCGAAAGCGTAATAGTACTTGGGAACTTGCAGAGAAGGGGTGCAAAAGACACAAACAGATAGCCAATAGAGTAAAAAGGCAATGTGCTCAGAATCAGTAACAGGAGTACCTTCTTCGCCATGATGGGCACTAACGAAGGCAGAATATGTCTTTTTGTCCCAGACGATCGAGGTCTCGGTCATCGGAATCTCTTCTTCGAGAGTGTCAGGAAGATAGCGGTCCCCTAGGGGTTTCAATCCCGTGATGGCAGCGATATCCAAAAGAGTGGGGCAGACAACACCACAAGGAAATTCGAAAGCACGAGTTTCCCGGTTCCAAAAGAAAACAACAGATAATAACATATGAGGATTGAAAACGTTCAGGTTGTATTTCGATAACTGAACGAAATCGAAAATTCCAGCTTCCTTCCAACTAGATTGCTGCGAAGCCTCAACACGTTCCAACCATTGAATGTGTTTGTCCTTAGGAGGAGGAAAAGCCCGAAACATTCGCGCGATATCCGAAAAAAGGGATAGATCGATGGTTGGAGAATAGACAAAAGGGAGAGTAGAATCATCTTCTGGAAGCAAATCATTATGAGGCTTCTTCTTTCTCGGATTCGAAAAGGGGCCTAGAAAAGCATGCATTGATCCATTAGAAAGCGAAAAAGGGAGAAGTACCTGTGATTGGAAGATTTTGAGACTGGCTTCCTCCATGCCAGGGATAGGAACGAATGGGTTAGCCCCTTCGCACAGATGAGAAATAGTTGCATTCTCCGTCAACAAAGGAACGGAGGAAGTAGGGGAAACCGTCGAAGTAGCGAGTGTAGCCGTAGACGCGGACGCAGCGAAAGTGGCCATGGAAGCAGGACGAAGGTAAAGAGTTTGAAGGGAGATGAATGAGTAAGGGTTAGAAAACATACTCAAATGGACGAAGTGAAAGGCTATATGAAAGAGCAAAATAGGCCAAAAGTGCAGTAAAAGCCCGCTGTGAATATCAAAAAGGGGAATTCAAATTTTTGGGTAACCGAAAATATTTGCTAACAGACAAAATTTGAAATCACGTCAGCGTATCCCGGAGAAGCGGAATCAGTGCCGCCAAATTTATTGTAGCAGGTACGAAAAGGAGAAAGTTGGAATTAATAATGTCAGGGGCATTTAATTCTCGCGAGACGCACGTGGCTATAAGGTCTTATCATGAAAAACATTCGTTCTCAGTTACTTTGAAGCAAATGTTTTCCAGGGGGCATTTGTTAGTACCAGAAAATGAATTCGGAGACACTCGAAATACAGGGGCACTCGAAATCTTAATTGATTGGAGAATAGCAAAGGAGGTCTCAGAGATGTAGAGGATCGGAGGATACTCGAAGACACTTTTCGCGAAGCTCTTGAAATCATGGAACAAGGAAGGATGCTACTCAGAAGAAGGACTCACAACCTCGCAGTCTCTCAAAGTACAAGCAAAATCAGGAAACATTCAAGTATAGTTTCGTGGATTACTCGAAACCCCAAGAATCTGGAGATACACGAGGACACTTCGTAACCTCTCAGAATGAAGAACTTAAAGGAGACACGATCTAAGAGTGGTCGAAGTAGCATGGGATAAGGGTCAAAGAATGCAGAGCGGTTTAGGGAAGTTAATGAGCAGTTCCATGAATTATCCAAAGACGGGCCCCAGAATAAGCCACGATGTGAAAGTTTAGAACGGTTATGTACTTCCGGGGCACGTCAGAAACAGTTAACTTTGCTGAATCTTTATCTATAATTGTCTATAAATTAAACGAGCATTGCTCGTAACAAGGGATCAGAAATCTAATTCCCACAATTCTCACACGCACTCCACAGCCCAGCCCGCGCATAAGGCATACTGCGCATACGAGACAGCTTTGGGGACGGTTTCTCGACCACTTTTCTTTTCCTTTTTTAAGAGTAGCGTAGCATAGCGTAGCATAGCATAATCTAGTCTAGTGTAGTGTAGTCACTCTGAACATGTTTCGTTATCCTTACGAATTGTAATTTCGTTACCATTTAATGAAAGATATGAAATTATTATATACATGAAATTGATTGTACAATTAGCATAGATCTTCTGATGTGCTGAAACAAGCATAGATCTTCTGAAGTGCTCGAAACAATGAGCATAGATCTTCTGAAGTGCTCGAAACAATGAGCATAGATCTTCTGACGTGCTGCAACAACACCCTAAATTAACTCTATTCGCTGCTTGTACGAATTTATTTTCTTTCACTGAAAGTCTTCAATTCTGTCATGTCACGAACACCACAAATTGAAACGTAAACTCGTGCTAGTTCGAACAAAAAGAACTTACGAACGAAATCCCCCACAAACACTTTTGTTATCACTTCTAGCTTCGCCATTGCATTCTATATTACCATGCACAATGTAATTTTTGACACAATTTTTGTCCCTTGCTTCCTTCCAAGCCTTCACATGATTTAAATTGAGATCTGTAACAAAAATAAAGCTTGTTAGATTCACACGTCACAACATTTCCAATTCTAGCTAAAACAAAATATTTTTATTTGCAAATTACATTATTTTACAACACACATCATATATAAAAAATAATTAATATAATTTAAAATATTGTTTTTTGCCATATGAAACCATTTATTGAAACACGTGTAAACAATTCCCACGAAAAAAGAAACCCCATCATGATTCCTTCCTTGCTTTTAAAATTTTTATTTTTCTTACTTTATTTTTCTTATTAATTATAGTGGCCAAAAACCTGGCTAAAAAGTCTATCATTTAATTTTATTAGATATTTTTAATCCAATTAATCAATTTATAATTTTCTAATTTTTGAACTCCTAACTTAATGATAACTTATCATTTACCAACTTTCAATCATCAAATAAGCTAATTTTATCAGACCAGCTCATAATTTCGTATTTAATAAACTTTCATATGTAAAAGATAAATTGGAAATCCCCAATGGATATAAAAATTAAACCATGCACTTCCATCCTTTTTGTTATAAAATATTTATAGATTAGCATATCTAGAAATAAAAGCCAAGACAAGAGTCTCTTACCATTACCAAACACCACCATGTGCACGTTAGAGAAGCGAGGGTCAGTCTTCGTTCTAACCCTAACAAGCGAGAACGACGAACAGCACCGCCTCAACCCCGCCCTCCTCTCCTCCCTCCTCGCCGCCCTCTCCCAACTCAACTCCCAAGCCACCGCCTCCTCCGCCCTCATCACCGCCGCGCACGGCAGATTCTTCTGCAACGGATTCGACTTCCGCTGGGCGCAGGCCGCCGCCGACCAGCCCTCCGCCCGCCGCCGCCTCCGCCGCATGTCCGACTCCCTCCGCGCCGTCCTCGCCGCGCTCCTCTCCCTCCCCATGCCCACCGTCGCCGCCCTCTCCGGCCACGCCGCCGCCGCCGGAACCGTCTTGGCGCTCGCGCACGATTACGTCCTCATGAGGAGCGACCGCGGCGTCATCTACATGCCGGAGGTGGACCTCGGCATCACGCTCCCCGACTACTTCGCCGCCGTGGCCACGGCCAAGATGGCGGCGGCGAGGCGCGACGTGGTGCTGGGCGGGAGGAAGGTGAGGGCGGTGGAGGCGGTGGCGATGGGGATCGTTCAGTCGGCGCACGATAGCGCGGAGGGCACCGTGGAGGCTGCGATGCGCCTGGGGGAGGAGTTGGCACAGAGAGAGTGGGTTGGGGACGCTTATGCCGAAATTAGAAAGACTTTGTACCCTCAATTTTGTGCTACTTTGGGTTTAACACCTAAAGCCATTGTTTCCAAGATCTGATTAGTTACTATTGTTTTGTTTTGAGATACCTTATAAGGTTAAGGCTTAAAATCTAATTTGGTTTCTTATAATTTTTTTTTTTTTAATTTAGTTTCTCATTAATTTTTTGTCTCAATTTGGTCCCAAACTAATTAATTGGTTTCAATTTAGTCCCAAACTAATTAATTGGTTTCAATGTGAGACTTTCCGTCCAAATTACTTTAATGGTGTTTATTTTTGGCCACGTGAACGTCACGTAGATGCATACGTGGATGAAATTTTTTTTTAAAACACCTGGACCCAGAACGGCCCGTTCTGAAATCGGAACGGGCCGTTCTGGGTGCATTTTTGGTGTGTTAATTTTGCATCCGGAACGGCCCGTTCTAGGTGCAAAATTAACACACCAAAAGTGCACCCAGAACGACCCGTTCCGGTTTCAGAATGGGCCATTTCAGTTTTATTTTATTTTTTATATATATAAAATATTAATAATTTTATAAAATATATATTATTAATTATATTTTAATTATGTTATTATATCTAATAAAATAAATATATTAATATTTTTTTTATATTTTATTTTATTATGTTTATCTTATTAATTTTTATCATTTTATTCCTTTAATCTTAAATAAGTTGCAAAAAATTATAAAGTGATATTCCTTTTATCTTATTAATTATTATATTTTTTAATAAAATTAATTAAGAATATTGGTTTAATTGCATTTTTTATCCCTCAAGTATTACAATTGTGCAGTTTTGTGATCTCCAAGATTTTAATTGCATAATTTTAGTCCTTAAAGAATTGCAATTGCGCGATTTTGGTCCTTCAATTTTTAATTGAACAATTTTAGTCCCTCAAATATCATAATAGTATGATTTTTGTTTCTCCCATTAAAAATTAATAATTTTAATATATATATATATATATATAATGTTTTAAAATTAAATAATTATTTATCTATTCAAATTAACGTATATTATAATTTTCGATATTATATCAATAATATTATTAATATATTTATAGATAAACTAATAATTTGATAAATATAACTTGTTATATATTAATATACTTTTACAAAAATATAAGTATATTAATTAGAAATATATATCTGATCTTATATATTTATATTTTTGTAAAAGTATATTAATATATATTAAGTTATATTTATCAAATTATTAGTTTATTTATAAAAAGGGTAAAAATATTATTGATATTAATTTATCAGTAATATTAAAATACTAATAATATATAAATTTTATTTATTTAGTAATAGTAAATATATATCATTTGATACATTAAAAAAAATAATATACGTTAATTTAAATAAACAAACAATTATATAGTTTTAAAACATTATATATATATATATATTAAAATTATAAAATTATTAAATTTTTAATGAGAAAGACTAAAATTGAACAATTATGATATTTAAGAGATTAAAATTGTTCAATTAAAAATTATGAGATTAAAATTACACAACTATAATCTTTTAAGGACTGAAATTACTCAATTAAAACTTTAGAGATCAAAATTGCATAATTATAATATCAAAAACACAATTAAGCAAAGAATTTTTTATTCACAGTTTTGGAACGGGTCGTTCTGAATCCATAACGGCCCGTTCTGAAAGCAGAACGGACCGTTCTGTTTTCAGAACGACCCGTTCTGCGTCACTGATGGTGTTTTAATTTTGCAACCAGAACGGCCCGTTCCAGTTTCAGAATGGGCCGTTCCGGTCCAGGTGTTTTCAAAAAAAATTCTCATCCACGTGGATGCCACGTGGTCAAAAGTTAACTCCGTTTAAATAATTTGGACGGAAGTCCCACATTGAAACTAATTAATTATTTTGGGACTAAATTGAAACCAATTAATTAGTTTGGGACCAAATTGAGACCAAAAATTAATGAGGGACTAAATTAAAACAAAAAAAGATTATAAGGGACCAAATTAGGTTTTTAGCCTAAGGTTAATTAATTTGTAAAATTATTTTGAATTTAAATTTAAAATAATTATTTTATTAATTAGTGATATTAAAGTTTAATTAATATTAGTTTTAATGATATATAATAATTTAACTGTTGTTCTTTTAATTAATATTAGAGATCAAATGTTTTGAAATAAATTGGTTTTAATTATTATAATTACATTTATCATTATTTTTTTCTATAAATATTATGATTCAGTAGGAGTTTAGAGACTTGCATATGAGTGTAAGGTATATTTCTAGGAGTTCAAATACATTTGTGTTTTCGGTATTTATAGACAACAATCTAAAGAACAGTTAATGTATCATGGTGGTAGTCACATGTGGAGAAAAATAATGTATGAATTGGTCAGTCTAATGTTATTCTGCCATTGATGATTCTCTTTAAGAGGGATGAGTTTCATAAGGAGTTTATATCCGCAATTATTATGATGGAGTTGGACTGGACTAAGTTTGATTGTGACTTCGTGAGCAGCTCAGCCAAGATTTGTGCTTTAAGATATGAGTTTGGTAAATTCTTCTTCAAGATTGAGACCACTCTCGTGAACGTCGTCTAATGGAGGCCTTCACCTATATTAATATCAAATTAATGCATATGTCATGGGTTAGTGAGAGTTTCGTGCTTAATGCAAGTAGCTTTCTTTCTAGTATCTTTTTTCAAGTATATTATCGAAAGGTTGGTTGTCTTATTCAGCGATTGTTGTTACACGGCACATACATAGGTTACTCATAGGGGTAGGTATACGGTCCGGCCCGTTTAAGGTCCGGTCCGTAAAACTTATATTTTATACGGGTCGGATAAATTTGGTCTGTAAAATAAATGGATTTATTTTTTAAGTCCGTATCCGGCTTGCCAAAATCTGCGAATAACAGACCGGTTCGCGGGCCTAAATAATGGTTCAAAAAAATAAATTTTTAAAAAATAAAAATACATAAAATTAGAAGAAAAAAAATATTTTTTATTTATAAGCTAAATTTTATCATACTAAAATTTATCAATAGTTAAAATAGTTTAAAATTCTAAATATTAAAATATTAAAATAAAAATAATTACAAATACTTAAATAATAGTACCAAACTTTCAATAATAAAAGTATCAAAATGTCATCAAAATAATTTAAATGACAAATACATGCCAACTAAATATAATTTTAATGTCATAATAATTTAAAAAATTAAATACACAACTTAATATTAAAATCGTAATATTTAAAAATATTAATTAGTGAAGTCCGCGAATTAAATCTGTCAAGTCCGCGGACTTCACGGGCCGGACTCAAAAATTACACATAGTCATATGGATTTGAAAAAAAACGGGTCCGTTATCCGCGAAATCCGCGGGCTTACGGACCGGTCCGCAAACCCGGGTCCAACTACCCACCCCTAGTTACTGATATGCAATTTAATTACAATTATATAGAATTGCCACTAATTAAATATACAGTTGTGATTTGCTATGGAATATATTATGTCAATGAGTATACATTCAGGTGAATGGATCTTTCAATTTGATTGGTTTCAATTTTAGTTAAAGGTGTAGATAATAATAATATTAATTTAAGAATACTATTCTTCATGAATAAATAAGTGTGAGACATCATTTGACAATTAATTCTTGAGATCCTTTTTATAGTGGGAAGAATAATTACTAATATTTGTTATCATGAATGAGAAATAAGACTTACTTTAATAAAATCAATATTATTATGTGTTGATATCTGTGTGGTATGATGATATTATATATATTGATTAGTTTTTGAATTTAACTCTTAAAAATTATAGTCATTCATGACATGAGTTAGAGGAAAATTATGAGTAATATGATGTTATCCATATTACAATATTTTAAATAATATGAGATGTTATATAGATGTCATAAATTAATTGATATTTAAGATTGTGAATTTTTCATTGTATCAGAAAATATAATGATGATTAATTGAGGCTTAGATTCATGAGACAAAATTCACTAATGTTGTGTCAATACATTTTATAGTGAGATTAATTTAAAATCAACTAGTAATAATTATTAAATTAGAGTTTGTTGTTTAAAGATGGTTGATTATAAGGCTTAGTAGTTGATATAACAAAAAGATTGAAATTTATTGTTCATGTGTAAATAATATGTTTCATAAATAAATTTATGAGCAGATACGAGGTGGGTATGTGTATACTCGATATCCAATGGAGACGGGGATGGGAATGCAAATTTCATAACCAATGGATATGTGGACGAGAATATAGGGTACAAGAATAAAACGGAGACAAAGATACTAAAATTTACATCTGTCCCGCTCTGTTGTTATCCTTAATCATATCTAGTACCAATGTATTGTATTTCTACATAGTCTTGCATTCAATGGAGTTGGATAGGTGGCACATAAATATGCTTTATTTATTTAATTCACTACTACTCTAATAACCTCTCGTAAACCCAATGTGGGTCAAAACTTGAACACACATTGAGTTTGGTGTTGAAAGCAAAGAATAATGAAGAGGATAAAGGCTTGGTAAGAGCATCTGTAATTTGAGCAGCAACACGAACATGAACAACTTAAAGAGCATTTGATACTGCTTTTTCACGAACAACATGAATATCCAACTCTAAGTGTTTAGTTATAACATGTAGTATCAAGTTATGAGAGAGAGCGATGGCGGTTGAGTAATCGCAATACAAGCATGGTTCAAAGAAGGAGATATGCATTTCCTGCAATAAGTATTAGGTCAACAACAATTCAAAAGTAGCATATGCCATACTCCTATGCTTGACCTCAATTATAGATTGAGCAACAAGGATTTGTTTCTTAGAACACCAAGAAACTACGTTTGATCCAAAATAGACAACATAGTATCCAAAGGTAGATCAATGATTATCTAAATCATTATCCCAATTAGCATCACTATAAGTAGTAATAATGAAAATTAGAGAACTAGAAGGTGTAAGTTTTAGTTCAAAACCATAGGATAATGTGCCTTTTAGATACCTTGGTATACACTTTATGACCTTCTAGTGACTTTCAAGGGGGTGAGCCATGAATTGGCACACATTTTTCACATCATAAGCAATTTCAGGACGTGTGTGAGTTGCATGTTGTAGACCT